TTGAAGGAGATTGCCTCGGAAACAGCGTCAGCATGAATCTTCCAGTAAAGTTAATCGACAGCTGGTAAAGAGTAATCCGCCGTCATCTTCTAGTGGAATCGACCTTCGAATCTCTTCACCCAACACTTTCACTCGAAATGGAAGTAAGCATAACTGCCACATCCAGCCAGCTCACCCACCAGGTCACGAGTTGATATGTATTACACAATGTCCTATGTCGCTTAGGGTAGTATAAGAATCAAAATTTGTATTTTTCCACAATCATATGAGTAGGTCTCACGGTGCCAATGAGCTTCGACCTTCTCACAGTACCCTTAGTACATCTACGGTCTTCTGTACCGTGTCGTGAATCTCGGGAGGACTTCACCACTCCGCTATACAGCCAAGAGCAACAGTTATATTCCAGACAAATTAGGTCTCCGCCAAACGAACATGTAGTTATGATTGTGTTTGACGACTTTACTAATATTTTAAATCAGTAGAGTTTGAGTTTCTTGGTGATTCTAGAATAAGCAGTTAGTCACTTAGCCCATCCTGATGGCGAGAACAGATTGGGAGGCAAGAGTAAGGGAAATCCAATGGCATCGTGAGACCTACTCATCTCGGTTTTTAAAATATCAACCATTACACCTTTTATCTTAAGCGATCTAGGTTCATTAAAGTATTATTCAAGAAATACTGATAGTCTCGAAACATGCTCACATCGTTGATCCATATCTACGCTTTTATAAATTAAATTATATTTGTAAATTTTAAGTTTATGAACGTCTACTGTATGCTAATTGTCCTACTTTGGGACAAAAATCTGGCTCACGTGTAAGTTGATAAACCAGCCTCCACAATTTTGTGTTTTATGCATTCTAGCAAGGAGTGATTCCTCTTGCAGAAAACGATCCAGACGACGAATACCTCTACGAGGTGGTGATCTCAACCGGTCTTCGTGAGAACGCTGGTACAAAGTCGAAAGTTTGCTTTGTGCTGGCTGGCATGCAAGGCGAGACAGCTCCAAAAGAATTGTCCAGTCCCGACGGATATATCTTGGCTCGAGGAAATGTTGACAGATTCTTGCTTTCCTGCAAACGGTACGACTATACTATCAACTGCAAACGCAGATCGGATTCAGAGTTATTGCCACTGGTGGACCATCATTGTTGAGCTTAAAGCCGGCCCTCAAACTGACCCTTACAGGAAACAGTTAAGCGATTAAGCTTAAGGCAATTTTAACGTAAAAAACGAAGCCAGAGTTGGCTCGAAATGATGAGATATTCGTCATTTGGGCGATAAACAAATAGTGGCAAAGGAAGCTATGGTATTTTTTGCTTGAAAGTAGGTTATAGAAACCAATAGTAGGCTATATATATATATATATATGAGATATATTCACTTAATTTCATTATGTTGATAAATAACTGGTAGTTAAATTTTACCAACAATGATATGAGTAGGCCTTACTTATCCATTAAATTAAACATCGCCTTATTTCCCATATGGTCTTCTCATTTATGCTTGACTGGACTCGAGCCCGGATTGTGAAGCGTATACTCTTGATATGTTAGCACTGCCACTACTGCCCTTGTATCTTAGGGTATGCGTAAAGTTGAAGGAAGGACGAGTATGAATTCTCCCTCATCAAAAATTCCACTACAGAACTATGCCATGGAAGGGTCTTGCTTTTCTTATCAAATTGTGCCCCTTTAAAGGCTGCCTTCTCGAATAAGCCAAATGACAAGATTAACTTAATATAAGATGAATTAATCCTATTTCCTTTAAGGTGATAAAGGACTGGACGTCGAATTTTCCCACAATGATATGACTAGATCAGAACTTAACATTGAATTTCACATAGCCTTGCTTTCCCAAAAGTTGTTCACATCCCGGCTGGGTGGACTGCAGTTTCGACCTTGCATCGGTCTTATCAACACCCCCAGCGGGAATCGAACCATGACAGTGCAGAATGTGAGCTTGTCACGTTAACCACTCAACAACATTGCCACGAGTGCCCTTTGGTCACAGGGCAGGTGTGAATTTAAAGGAAGGTCAGGGGGAATACATCTCATATTACTGATTTACTGGTAGCTTTGAAACTACTCAAATACGAAAAATAAGATTAACTCAGCCTAAGCTTCATTAGTACCACTCAACGGGATTATTATTCGTTCTGTGTGTGTCCAGTGTTCCCATTGATCAAAGAGCTCTAGTACCACTGTGTTGTTGGACGGATGGGACTTTCAAGATATATGGACACCCAATATATTCGGTAAAGTTTCATCATTCTTATACAATCATTGTCATTATCACCAAAGTGGGACGAGTTTAAGGAAAAACTAATCCCAATTAAAGGGACAGGCTTTGAAACTCAAATAAATCTTGGTAGTTTGAAGAGATGTAAGGAATGATAATAGAACTGTTCACAATAGAAGAATGGACAAAATGTGCAGATAATCAAAGTTCCAAAGCCTTATCTTCCAAAATATTTTCTCATGCGAGAAGTACTGACATTTTGACCTCTCTCGGTTCCAGTGCCTAACGAGACTTGAATTTGGCTCCTGTTCGGAAGCAGCAAAGTTGCCACTCCATCAAAGAACCACAGCTGCCAGTGGATCACTACTCACTATATATATAAGTAGATTTCTCGGAGGTTATGTCAAATATAAGTTTGCCGTATAGATAACATTGATTAGGGATATACCTGTATAGCCTAGAATATCACATCTTCCTTCTGTTTTAGTGGCTTCTGTGGGAACGTAAGATTTTTTAGTAATTCCTTTATGGGAAATCCAAACATCGAGCCAACTCAAATACTTTGAAGGCATGGTCAGGCAGAGTGTTAGCATGAGGGTCTTTGAGATCGCAAGGCCACTTACTTCGAATGTTCGCCCATCATTTTCAAGGTAGCAAATATACTCTATGACTACTTCTATGACTACAGTTGCAGGTGAATTTGATGGCAACATTAGAATAGGAATTATAATGTGACAATGCTTCCAGTCGAGCTGATGAAGAAGTGTCTACAAGCGTATTCAGACTCTGATTATCCAATTTCGTTAGAAAGATGTTTTCTTTAAATGCTAGTCGACAAGACGGCTTCTGGGTAGCCATCGTTACTCGTAAATGTAACAGTTAAACCATATAAATAAATTGTGAGAGGCATACTTCTCCTTGAAAATCACCACGACATTCTGACATCTGCGACCGTTTGGGGAAGTGATGATATTTGAGCTCAGTGGGTATAACTCGGATTCGAGTTCCGCGGAAGGGGCTGATGAGATTTAAGTAAGTCGAAAATTGCAGACTAGTCCAAAAGAGGAAGTCGCTCATGAAGCAGAGACGAATTAAATTCAACGGCCCCAGGAGGCATTCTATACACTTTATTGCTTGCAACTCAATCATTATTCCCTACATCACTTTGTAGTTAACTAAGGTTACTGGTCTACTGGTAATTGTGAAGCATGCTCACAATTGTATAGAGAAAATCTTTGCTAAGCCAGAGAAGCAGCATACAATTTCAAGTTGTATCAATCTGAGTCAGATTTAAGTCCTCACTTCGCTATTTCCAACTGAGCTCTTCCTCGCGGCTTCACACTAAATGAAGTTTAGCACCTCACAGTCTCTACATTTACTTTCTTCTCTTTTTTATCATTCATCACAATTTTCCTTCAGTTCTTAATTTCAGACCAAATCAAAGAATCATTTGTCTATTTACAGGTGCCTGGGCGATCTTCGCTACATACATATTTGGCACGACAATTCGGGCAAAGGTGATAGTGCCTCCTGGTATTGCAACTACATAACAGTGACCAACTTGCAGACGAAGGAACGATCATTCTTCCTCCTTAACAGATGGTTGGCTGTAGATGAGGATGATCACCAGGTAACGAGCTCCCCCAGCCTAGGCCACCTAGGGCGATTTAAGGACTGATAGTAGAGTTTTCTCGCAATCAGATCACTAGGCCTCACATTACCATTAAATTGCACTTAGCTTTGCCTCTCAAAAGGCCATTTCATCCAGCCTGGACGGCAATTTCGACTTAGGCTTTGACACATCAACACTCCTGCTGGATTCGGTATCAGTTTGTGAGTATAATGGTAATGCTACCACTCCACTCTACTAAACGGCAATCGGTGCCAGTGGGCCACAGGGCAGATGCGACATTCAAGACGAACCAGGCCTCTCTTGAGCTTACATTTATAGTGGGATCGTCCAGTAACCAAACA